TTATTTAAGAAGTTCTAAATCACAGGATTATGGGGGACTGCTATTGAGATTAAAAGTTTCATTAGAAGTTCAAAATGATAGGATAATGGCAAACCGTTATTTCCTTCTTTATAGTTATCTATTTTCGCTGACATTTTTAATAATTTATAAATATTATCTTTATAATTAGAATAAAAACCACTTCCATTTTGGAAAGAGAAAGATTATTATGAAATAAGAAATCGCAATTAATAAAAACTAAAAGAGAATATCAAACTCATTGCCATTGAGTTGATTCCAACTCATAGCAACCCTTCAGAGTAGAACTGCCCCCATTGCATTTCCAAGGCTATAATCTTTTGGGAGCAGACAGCCACATCTTTCTCCCACAGGACAGTTGATGGGTTTGAACTGCTAGCAACCAAGCACTTTAACCACTGTGCCACCAGGGCTCCTTAAAAGAGAACCCCAAAAAAACCCGCTGCCATGCCGTGGAGTCGATTCCAACTTATAGTGACCCTATAGGACAGGGTAGAACTGCTCCACAGGGTTTTCCAAGGAGCGCCTGGTGGATTCAAACTGCCAACCTTTTAGTTAGCAGCTGAACTCTTAACCATTATGCCACCAGGGTTTCCTAAAGGAGAACAGAAGGAACTAAATAGATACACTGAATAGTGGGACTGGTGCCTTTGTTTTGTTTTGTTCTAACTTCCTTTGTTAGCATGTTTGTGTAATAAATTTGAGGGAAGTAAATTTTACTTAAACTTCAAAGAACAAGAAAAAGGAAACTACATTTTAAACAGGGTAGCAGTTCTCAAAGGGTCCCCAAGATCCTCTCTGGGGTTGGCAAGGTCAAAACTATTTTCGTAATACTAAGATGCCACTTGGCCTTTTTCACTCTCATTTGCTCACAAGTGTATAGAATTTTGGTGTAGTTTCAAAGAATAGCCACAGTTATCTGAAAATGCTGATGAAATACTCTTCTCTTTTCCAACTACAGACCTCTATAAGGATGCATTTTCTTTACGTACTTCAACCAAAACAACATACCACAACAGACTGAATGCAGAAGATATAAACATCCAGCTGTCTTCTATTAAATCACATAATTAAAGAGATTTGCAATTATGTAATACAATGCCACTCTTCTAATTTTTTTTTGTTTTGGGCAATAGAATTATTTTTCATAAAAATGTATAAGTTACATTAACATGAAATAGATCTTAAATTATTCTAAATAAATTAATAAATATTTCAAAGGTTCTTCATTTTAATTTCTTATCAAGTAACCTCTGGGTCCTTAACAATTTTTAGGAGTATAAAAGGGTCTGAAACCAAAGTTTGAGAACTGGTCTTCTAAAGTATTTCTTACTCTATAAGACAAATATAACTCTACAAAAAAGTATTTTCTAAGATAAAAGAAACAAAAAAAGCTACTTAAGACTGAATTTATAGTTTACAGAACAAATGATTAATGTCTAGGATTTGCTTTAATCTGAGGGGCAAGGGAGGAATGGGTGCAAGTATAAATAAGAGTGGCCATGAGTGAATAGGAGCCCAGCCGCTCCTTGGAAACCCTATGGGGCAGTTCTACTCTGTCCTATAGGGTCACTATGAGTTTGAACTGACTCAACAGCAATGGGCTTGGTTTTGGTTTAGATGACTTAATAATTATTGAAGCTGGGGGATTCATTATACTATTCTATTTTTGCATATGTTTGAATTTTCCCCTTTACAGCTTTCATCTTTACGTATTATCACCACTCTGACTTAAACAAAAAAAAGACACAGATACTTTTCAGCTTAATATTAAAAGCAGCTCACCAAATCCTTTAACTTGATTGACCTGGATGGAACAGAATAGTTTTTTGATGCTACACTACTGCCATCTGCTGGCTGTGTTCTCAAGGTACAGTAAACAAATGTTTAAAACAGAAAAGCTAAAATATAACCTGATATGACTGAGGTTTTCTCCCAAAATTATCCCATAGAAAAGAAGCTGGCCATACATTTAAAAAAAAAAAAAACACCAAACCCACTGCCAGTGAGTCGATTCCGACTCATGGTAACCCCATGTGTTTGTTACACAGTAGAACAGCTCCATAGGGTTTTCTTGGCTGTAATCTTAACAGAGGCAGATTACTAGGCCTTTTTTCCCTGGTACAGTTGGGTGGGTGTGAACTGCCAATCCTTAAGCTAGTAACTGAGCTCAAACTGTCTGCACCAACAACAGACCTGCCATACATCGGGGTTCCTCAAAATCTCACATTAGAAGCAGTGGTTCTCAACCCTGGCTGTGCTTTAGAATCATCTGGGAGCTTTTAAAAATCCTGATGCCCAGGCGCCAAGCCAGAACAATTAAACCAGAATCTTTATGTTACAAAAATGAAAGTCAAGCCACAGAATGGGAGAAAATATTTGCAAACCATATATCCGACAGAGGGCTCATATCTAGAACTCATATCTATAAACTCTTAAGGTGCAATAATAACAAAAGAACCCAGTTTTTAAAATGGGTAAAAGATTTGAACACTTCACTGAAGAAGATAAATGCATAGCAATTAAACACATAAAAAGATGCTCAATATCATTAGTCATTTTGAAAATGTAAACTACAGCCACAATGAGATACTACTTCACACCCATTAGAGTGACTAAAAGTAAAGAAACTGACCATACCAAGTGTTGGCAAGGATGTGCAGTTAATTTTATCTCCTGAAATGCTCTAATTAGCAGGGATCATAACCATGATGCTAAAAACACTGGGTGAAACGTTAATTGATGACAGGATATTCACATGGTCTTAAAATATTACTCCACAGACTACTTACTAATTTCAAAGGGAAAAATATACCTTTACAATGGAGAGATATGGCAGTCACCCTCTTAATCTAGTGAATACACTTAGCATCTGCCATAGTGGGAACAACCTGATATTATGTGCCTGCTGTGCTGTAGTAAGAAGCACACAGCATTACCCATGTAGTATTGCCAAAAGCATTTAAACTGAATCTAATAAAGGGGAAACAATCAGATAATTAGACATTTCAAAATCTTGCTACTCAAAATGTGGTCCGAAGACTAGAATCACATCACTTGGGACCTTGTTGAAAACACAGACTCTCAGGTCCCACTTCAGACAACTCAATCAGAATCCACATTTTAGCAAGATCCTCAGGTGATTCATAGGTATGAAGTTGGAGAAGCCCTGTATAATACAAATAACTCAGATGCTTCAAAAAAGTCAATGTCATAAAAACAAAAAAGACAGGGAGGACTGTTCCTGGATTAAGAGAGACAAAACAATCAAAAGCAATGAGAGAACTTCGATTGAATCCTGGATCAAGGTGGGGGAGAGGAATTATAAAATACATTTTTGGTGGACAACTGGGAAAATCTGAATATGGACTTTTTATTCCATCACACTGAATTAATGTTAGTTTTCTTAGATGTGATAGTATATAGTTACATAGAATTTTCTTTTTCTTAGAAGATACATGTTGAAATATTTAAGATACAGCCTCATCATGTCTACAATTTACTTTCAAATGGTTCAGAGAAAAACAGAGAAAGCAAATGTGTCCTAATATTTAACAATTGCTTACTCTAGATGAAGGGTACATAGGTGATCATTGTGCTACTTTTTTCATTGTTTCTGTAGGATGGAAAAAAAATTTTAAATAAAAAATTGGGACTAGGAAGATTACTCAATTAGCACACAACACAAATGGTCAGTCTTTGGTAGCAAACAACATGATTCACACAACCTTGCATCTACCGTAACACTTGGCTCAGAAGATACATGTAAGAACTCAATAGATGTATGTTGAAAGAACAGGCAATTTATTGGTTTAAAGTATATTTTGGCTAGCTGAAACTCCTAAGGCATTAAGAGCTGCTACAACCACAGGGCTGTCAGACATACATGGATCTAGGGATTGCCACTGTAACTTTTTATTCCATGAGAGGCAGTAGAGTATAATGGCAAAGGTTTTGGGGTCAGTCAGACTTAGATTTTATTAGTGGAGTGTCCTTGGGCAGATCTACTCTCCCAAAGTCTGAATCACTTTATCTGTAATATAAAAATAAAACAGTACCTTTTAGGGTGGTTGTAAGGATTAAATGAGATATAAGATAATGGATGTAAAGTACTTAGCATTACTTAAGTGTTAACTGTCACTTTAGGAATAAAGTCAGCTCAAAGGTATTCTACGAAATGGAAGTATAGCTTTTATGGACCAGGTTTGGACTTTATTCTGAAGTTAAAGGTCTTAATATAATCTAGGCATATTTTCTGAAACTTATAAGTTAAAGTGAGAAAGCAGAACAATTTTCCCTTCTCTTTTTTGTTTGGTACCTTGAAAAAAAAGCATTTAGGAAGATGATGGGCAACTTTTCCCCAAGAATGACCAACAGGAAAGCATTTTACCTCTTCAACTCATCTTAGCAAGCCAGCATAAAGTACTGAAGATTAGCAAAATAAAGCTACTATAAATGACTTAAGACATTCCAATTCAATACTAAGAAAACATGATTTTGTCAAGTTACCCTAAGCTCCCCTGACTAGAAAAGTTGTGAGAAACCAGAACGTTTTCATGGGAGTTTACTGAACAGTTTTCTGGAAGCACTTAGAGAAAGAATAAGCATCTATTTTTTTTAGTTTAAGTGTATTTTTGCCCAGATGCACAATGACTAATGTACAAGGACTGACATCAACAGATGGATGACAACCTAACCCAATCATTCTATGAAATCCTAAAGCAAAGTACTCTTTTCTAAATGTTGGCAAAGAATGGTCTGGCTGCTTGTTTTTATACACAAAGTTTACTGGAACACAGCCATGCCCACACATTTATGTATACTGTTTAGGCTGTTCTTGCCACAACAGCAGAGTTTCAACAGAGATTGCATGGTCTGCAAAGCCTGAAATATTTACTGTTTGGCCTTTTACAGAAAAAGTTTACTGAAACCTGCTCTAGCCAAGTAATTCAAGAATGCAATAAAACCTGTTCCAGACTCACCTCAGGTGTTGTCTTTTTGTATTGATCACCTCCATCTATCACATTTCTCATGATATTTTCCTTGAGAAATTCATACTCTTCTGGACTCAGGTAAATAGACTCTATGGTTTTTCCACAGCCCAAACATTGACCGCTGTAATTGTAATTGTTTATGTTAAATAATGCCCTGGGAAGGATTTTTTTTCTAAAATGAATAATCTTAAGACATAAGGAAACTGAAAAGTAATAAAAACGAACATTAAAACCTTTGTATTCATTACATGCATATGATTTTTTTTGTAAACCTGATAATGTTACACATCAGTGTGCCAGGAAACTCAAGAGAGTAGACTGCTGAGTGCGTAAGCGAAGTTTTTAAAGTCATTCCTAAAACACAACTGGGTACCAAAAATCCAGGAGAAAATATTCTAAGACTTCACACAGGGCTCACTGTACTCACAGACAGGCAAAATGTTCTGCAAATTCTCTAATACAAAATACTGCTTTTTTTTAAGGTTCTCTAATTATAAACTCTTAATTATCCTATCCCTGTTGTTGCTGTTAGGTGTCGTCAAACTGATTTTAACTCACAGCAATCCCATGTGACTGAGCAGAACTGCCCCACAGGGTTTTCTAGACTGTAATCTGTACAGGGTCAGATCGCCAGGTCTTTCTCCCATGGAACTGCAGGGTAGGTTCGAACCACCAACCTTCTGGTTAGCAGCCAAGCACTTCACTGCTGCACCACCAGGGCTCCATCCTATCCCTAAGGTGTTCTTAACTTCTATTTCTTTTTTTTTAACCAATAGCAACAAAACCTACTAACCCTGAATTGAACAAGTTAAAAGTAAACTAAAAATTGTCCTTTACCTTTTCTGGATTGTGGTGAATTGTCCTTTCCATTGTTCTCCAGGAACACTATAAAAGAGATCGTAAAACCAAATCATCACAAAATTAAATTCCTACTGAATCGAAGGATATTCAGTGTATTTAGAAACTCTGTAGGCAAGAGCTCTGAAGAGTTAAGGATACTTCCCTAAAATCGTTTAATTGGAAAAGTGGTTGTTACACTGTGACAGGAATAAGGACCTGATGTGCCCTACTCTGAATCTCCTTCTTCCCTTCAGATCCCCTCCTGCCATCCTACCCTCATCTTTTTTAATTCCAAATTTATCTCACTGGTGCTGTACAGAAAGCAGCTGATCTTAGTAGTGTAATCTCTAAACCAAATCCAACTCTAACCTTCTCCATAATGCTGCCAGAGATCATTCTAGACCAGAAAAATTTATCTCCTCTTATGTTAGTATCTAATATACCACTGTTATTTAACTGTTAGGTATTGTATCCCCAGTAAGGTTGTGGATGCCACCATAACAGATCTTCTATCATAAAACATTCTCAGTTCCTAGCCTAACTGGAGGGATTCAAAAACTATTTATATATTTATTTGCTCAATCAACTTATCTTTTACTTTTTCCACTTACATATATTACCATCAAATCCTATTGGTTCTATTACTTCCCTAGTTACTTCATTCAGGACCTCATCATTTCTCACCCAAACCTACAATTGCTTCCAACAGATCTCCCCATTTCCAATCTTAATCCCTCCCCAATCTACACTTCTCAATGTCTTGGCAGTTCTTTCTAACACCACTTCAAAACCACCATTCTTGACTCTTTGGCATTCAAACATTTTCACAATCTGGCTCCTCCTCCATTCGTATTCAATAAATTTGTTAAATGATTGAATGATTATCTAGCTCAAAAGGCAATTAAGTGTAATTTCCACGTCAATGCTTTGTAAACATGATACGTAGTAGAAAAACAAGAGAAAACCAGAGAAGGAAGGAATACATTTTTATAAAAAGAACCTAAAGCAAATTAATGATGAAAATAAATAAATAAATAAAAGACTGGGGCAATAAACAGGCATGTAGCCAATAACAAGAATAAAAGCAATGGGAAAGTAAAGGAGATGGCCTTGGAGAGAGAACAGCCAAACGATGGAACTATACAAAGGAAATGGAAGTATGAAGATTTCCCATTTTAATACTTGCATATCAGATTTGATAAGGATCCCCTTGCTACTTTAACCATCTAAACTGATGAAGTGCAGAGATTAAACAGAATATCAACATACCAATCACTAGGTTTCAGAGGAATTTCTGAAAATACTAATATGAACCAGAGATAGCTCCAGCCAAATGCTATTACCTTTTCTTCCTATGAACTCTGACACAAGTACTATTAAGTATCAATATCATACTGGGTGACTCAAAAAAAACAAATGATCCTTCTAAAAGGAAAAAATACGTAAAAACTACAAATGTTCTAAAATTTCCCTTTTACGTGATGGGTGGAGACTAACATTGTTTATGCTGCTACTTTTTAAAAATTTTTTCAAAAAGTTTAAAATTTTTTTTTAAGAGGAAGCAAATCTTACTAAAAGATGGAAAATAAGTATACTTTGAATAGTAATAATTCCCAGCAATGACCAAAAAAGGGGGGGGGGCTACTTTTAAGAATAGGTATTAAAATAAAAGTATATATATTAAAAAAACTTACAATTACCTCTCAAACCATGCTTTTATACTATGTGCAAATGACTCCCCAGGATATAGCTGATTATTTCTTAGATACAAAAGAACGTCTAGTAGTTTGTTTGCATATTGATCGTCCTTTGTATCTTTCCCAAAATCAAAGAAGGCTTTTAAAGTTTCCAACATTGGAATAAGATCATGACCTAGCAACTCCTGATACAGATTCCAAGCTGTGTCTACATCTTGATGAAGGAGGGCTCCCTGGATACAGTCATCATAGTTCTTTTTTGAAGGGATCATGACTTTTTTGATATCTTCTAATAGCAGCAAGGCCTCTCTCCATCTGTCTGAGTGGATTAATCCCCGGATGAGGAGAGTGTAAGCCCCTGGTTCTAAACTTTTGTATCTGGCTTTCATGATTTCATAGACGTCAAAAATTTCTGCTGTCTGCTTATGAAAGACACAGAGATATAAATACTTGACCAGTAAATCATAGCTTACAATACCATTGTTTTTTGCAGCTACCCATGCCAGCAGAGATTTGGCCACATCTACAGAACTACGACAGTGAGTTATCTGTGAGCTGATCCAGTTTTCAAAATTGGCCTTTCCTTTGAAATCTTCCTTAAGTTTATCCCATTCCTCTGAATTCAAAGGTTTTGTCGGGAGTTGAACAGTGTTCCTCAGAGGTGGTGAGACAGGATCTTTACTCTGAGGATTCATCTGTGCTCTCTTCTTAGCTGCTCCAGCTGCAAAAAGATGAGGAGAATCAGAAGAAACTTGCTTATTACTTCCCTCATCTCCTTTCCTGTGATATCTGGTCTTGGCAATCAGCAGATTCATTGCTTTGGTATTCTGTGGAGACACTGTTGTAAGAGAAAACCACCTCTGTTTGTTCCTGATGCCATAGCAGTCCACGAGAAAGAGAGACAGAGAGTTTCCTGGGCCTAGCCAAAGGTATGAGTTGTTCTTCCAAAGCTTAGAAAAGCTTCGAAACCCAAACAAACAGAAAGTCATTATGCAGTGAAATTAGCACCAGAGAGTGAAAGAGATGTTTAAAGAGCCTCTACTTCTATAACAAAATTATACGCTTGGGGGTGGAGCGGTAGGAAGTGGACGAGCAACTTTTAAAAAGCCTTTGTTTCTCCTTTAAAAACAAATCAAGGTTCTTCTTTTGGGAATAGTCGACAGCAACGAAGACTGGTAAGTTATCTTCATTAAATAACAATCAGGGTATATCCGACCTCGGTGGCAGGCCCCAGAACCAGGGGACAGGGTAGGAATTCTTGCTCTCTGAATGGGGATCCTCGGCTGCTTGTTATACTCCAGACCGCGAACCTGAGGAAAAAGCAAAAGGAAGAATGCCCAGTTCGACTCACGTGGATCACAACCGTCCTCAAAAAAGAGCAGGATCTCTTGACAGCCTTGCTGAAAAGGGGGCGCAAAGTCGAAAACCGCGACCAAGAGTTTCTAAACCCAGACCTGCCAGCAGCAAAGACAGCCGCGAAAGTCAAAGTTTAGGGGGCCCTCACCATGCATAACAACCCTCCCCGGGCCGCAAAACTGGTCAGGCGGGCGTGGGAAGTGGGGTTAGCCGAGTCAACAAGTCAGGTAAGGAAAGGAGGTCCACGACGGGCACGGCCTTGACTGCGTACGGATGGATCACAAACAAAATTCATTTCATTCAACAACTCACCACAGCACTGACGCTTAACGCAGCCATAAACGCGGCGAAAACTACAGCGTCCACAATGCACCGCGCCAGCCCCGGCCCGCAGGGCTTGAGCAAAGCGGACCTAGGCGTTCCGATAGGCCTGGAGGCGAGGAAGAAAAGGCGATTTTGAGGCTTTTAGTGACAGAAGGCGGCGGCTGAAAACGTGCATAAGACTCAGGGAACCTTTAGAGCCTCCAGATATCCGCAATGAACAACGGAAAGAAATTGTGAAGGAAAAAAGCCCTCCCCCTGAGCCGGAAATTCCAGTGGACTCCTGAGTCACGTGGGTCGTACGCGCTAAAGAACCAAGAGGGAAAAAATAAAAGCATGGCCTTCTTTATCCTGCTCCTTTAAAATCGGAATCGATGACGTTGGGAAGCCTCCTTAAGGAGGGCCATTTTCCTTTCTCTTCACGTCTGCTTTCTGCCCTTAGCGTAATCGCCGTATTCTCCGCGACTTGCTACAGTAATTGTTTTTGCCTCTGTAACCCAGACTTCCGCCCATGTCGAAGATGGCGGGTTGAGCGGCTTTCCCATCCCTTTTGGGTGCTGGAGGCATCAGACGTTTAAGCTGGGGAGCGGGGCGGGAGTGGAGCAGTTAGTAAAAAGCAAATGCAGGAGCTGCAGCGCGGGAATCGGCCATGGACTGGAAAGAAGTTCTTCGCCGGCGGTTAGCGACACTTAACACCGGTCCAAACGGTGAGTTTCGGAAGGGCCGCTCGCTGGGATAGCCCGTCCCCAAACTTCGGGGGTGGCGTGGGGAAATAATGGGAAGGAGGAGCCACTGGGAGCCTCACTCATCGCTTCTGTAAAGCCTCGCTTGATAAAGGGGGCGGAGTGTATTGCGGTTTAGGGATCCACAGAGGTTTGGTCCCAACATCCCAGGGAAAGGATTGAAGGGAAGGAAAAGCCACTCAAAAGTCAAAACCTAGACTTGTTGTCAGGAATAACGGAGAACCCCGGCCCCAACAGTTCTCAGACCCTACCGGGACTTGTAATCCATTGATCCTGCTTCCTTTTATTGTCACACTTTTCATGTGCTTTTTTCTCTCCTTATCCATCTTTGATTTCGTAATCTAGTTTTCCTCGTCCCTTTCTCTTTTCTTCACATTTATCTGTTAACCAATTTGGTTAAATCGTCTATCATCGTATTCCCCTGCACCAGGGCAGCTGAAAATGACTAGAAAAAAACAGAACCATGGTGAGTTGCCTCCCTTTCAATTCATGTCCACTAGCCTAAACTAGGAGTTTTAGACACGTCTACTGTGCTTTCCGGAAGCCCTGGTGGCATAGTGGTTAAGTGCTACAGCTGCTAACTGAAAGGCTGGCAGTTCGAATCTGCCAGGCCTCCTTGGAACCACTATGGGACAGTTCTACTCTGTCCTATAGGGTCGCTATGAGTCAGGCTCAACGGCAACGGGTTTGATTTTGTTTTTGTTTTTTTAGCCATGCTTTCCTAAACATTAAGTCTCCTACACTCTAAGGTAATTCTTTTCACCCCTTCTCCTTTCTCTTTAAATCTCCAATATGTCCTACCCACTTTACTCCTTACTTTCTGGCGATTAACTTGTTTTTTACATCATTGAGAAAATAGAAACAAGCAGAGAAGAACCTCACCTGCTCCCATTTACCATTTCTATCTGTCCCTGCGTAGATGCCCATACACTATGCCTTCACTATTAAAATGATGAACTGTCCATGCTGCTATTTGAGACAGTCCCTTTCCTCCAGCATTAGAGCATTCCCTTCTATTCACTGAACTCACTCCTGCATTGTTCTCTCTCATGCATCGTCAGATTCTCTTTCTCTACTGGATCATTTCCATCAGCACTGACAAACATGTTGTAATATTCCCGTATCTTAACAAAAAGCATTTAATCCCACATCCTTCTCCAGCTTCTGACATATTTCTCTGAACCCATTGTAGGAAACTTCTCAAAATAGTTATGTATACTTGTGGTTTTTCCACTTTCTCCTCCCATTCTCTTTTGAACCCACTTCATTCTTTCAGAAGTATCTATTGCAAGCCTGTTACGTGTCAAATACTGTTCTAGGCTATGCAGTGAACAAAACAGACAAAAATTCCTGTCCTTGTGGAACTTACACCTTAGTGTGGGGAGAGACAATAAACGAAATAATTAGTACAGTATATAGATTATACAAGCTCCTGTTCAAGGCTGTTTCCTTCATCAGTGTATTAGATCCCATCCTTTGTGCTAGATCCCCCTCTTGCCTACTCAAGAATGTACGCCTGCGTTGTCACCTCTCTCCTGTATCATCAATTTTTCTTTCTCTGCGGCTGAGTTGCCAGTCAGCACATGGTTCTGTTTGTGTGTGTGGACTCTGCCTGTAGCAACAAATTTGAATATGTTAAAAACTATGACTAGGAGAATGATCACTATAATATGCCCAAATACTAGCCTTAAGCATTCAGGGTGGCTTAGGCTAATCCATTCAATAAATTCATTTCAAAAAGCATTTATTTAACACCTCCTAAGTATCTACTGGAGCCCTGGTGGCACAGTGGGTAAGAGCTCAGGCTGCTAACCAGAAGGTCACAGTTCAAATCCACCATCCATTCCTTGGAAACCCTATGAGGCAGTTCTACTCTGTCGTGTAGGATTGCTGTGGGTCAGAATTCACTTGACAGCAGTGGGTTTTTTGGTTTTTTAAGTACCTACTGGAGCCCTGGTGGCACAGTGGTTCAGAGTTCAGCTGCTAACTACAAGGTTGGCAGTTCGAATCTACCAGCCACTCCTTAGAAACCCTATGGGGCAGTTCTACCCTGTCCTGTAGGGTCACTGTAAGTCGGAATCAACTTGACAGCAACGGGTTGGGTTTGGTTTGGTTTTGATTTAAGTACCTAGTAGGAGCCCTGGGGAGCCCTGGTTGCACAGTGGTTCAGAACTCAGCTACTAACCCAAAGGTGGGCGGTTCCAATCCACCAGCAGCTCCTTGGAAACCCTATGGGGCAGTTCTGCTCTGTCCTACAGGGTCACTATGAGTCGGAATCGACTTGGTGGCAGTGGGTTTAGGAGCCCTGGTGGTGCAGTGGTTAAGCACTTGGCTGCTAACCGAAAGGTCAGCAGTTCGAACCCACCAGCCACACCACGGGAGAAAGATGTGGCAGTCTGTTTCCGTAAAGATTTACAGCCTTGTGAGCCCTATGGGGCAGTTCTGTTCTGTCCTGTGGCATCACTATGAGTCAGAATCAACTCGATACCGGTGGGTTTGGTTTGGTTTTTGGTAGGTACCTACTAGGAGCCTTGTTGGCACAGTGATTCAGCTGCTAACCGAAAGGTCGGCAGTGCGAACCCACCATCCACTCCACAGAAGAAAGATATGGCAGTCTGCTTCTGCAAAGATTACAGCCTTGGAAATTCTGTGGGGCAGTTCCACTCTGTCCTGTAGTGTCAATATGAGTCAGAATCGACTCAACAGCAACAAGTTTGGGTTGTTTCTTTTTGAAGTACCCAAAAGAAAGGGAAAATTTGATCTGATATTGGAGTTTAAGGTTTCAGAAGAGGACCAGATAAGACCCATGGTCTTGCTATGAAACTGAGTGACAGAAGTGGAGTAGAGGTGAAATCTTTTAGAATTGAAGAGGTTAAGGTCACCCATATAAATATTTAATTCTTCCTCGATGATTGCAGGACCTTGAGGGTAAGAACACCAGGCACCTGTTGCCATGGTCCACAAATAAGTGTGGAGGAATGGCTGTATGAGATTGGTGCATGCCAGCAACAGACAGGTTGGAGGGTAATAATGCCCTGTGGTGTGAGCTTCAGAGAGAGAGTTTTTACATTAGATGGAGGAATAGTAATTTGGAAGGGACAGGCTGAAACTCGATGAGGTCAGGGGCCATGCCTGTTTTGCTCACCCCTGTATCTCCAGTCCTAGTACAGCACTCTATACATAGTAGGTGCTCAGTAAATATTTTTGGTTGAATGAATTAGGAGAACTCCAGAGGTCTGTAGGAGAGGCAGTGACTTAAGGAAGAGACAAGTTTTAGTGATACAAAGAAGAGGAAACATTTTCAGAAGTGGCTAAAGATGTAGGAGAGTCTGTAGAGAGTAGTGATCCTTTTTGTTTCAAAAAAGTTGAAATAAGATGTTCAGTGTATAACATAATTGGGAAGGTCTTTAACACTGTAACTGTTTTGACTGTCGTGTATAGGACGACCTGAGTAAAAGTATTATTTGACTTCAACAGTGGTTGATCTGTTTTGTTACCAGAAAAAAAAAGTGAGCAAGAATTAAAAGATGAAGAAATGGATTTATTTACCAAATACTACTCAGAATGGAAAGGAGGTAGAAAAAACACAAATGAATTCTATAAGACCATTCCCCGGTTTTATTACAGGGTAAGTGGTATCTAAGCAAATCTTGCAGAGTTTATAATTTTAAAAGTGGGATCAGAATTTTATATTTTAAAAACAAATAAATTGAGCATTATATTTTCAATTTCATATATTCTTTCACTCTAGTTGATCTTATCTCTATTATAAAACATTTTGGACTGATAAAATCTTGAGATTTAATATAAGTTGTTATAACAACACAGTTGTCACTTGCAACCTTCTTTGAGCTATGGACTTTTTTTTTTCTTCCTAATTTTTATTATGAATATTGGTAGTAGATATTCTATTGTATTATATTGTCAAGCTTTTTATACCACTTAGGCTAACTTGGCCTCTCCTATTACACAAGGTATAAAAAGTTTTTCTTAAGGCAAAAGTGAAAAATTGAGAATGAAAAGAGTTACACTTAATTGTATATTTCCTTGTTCCAAAGTGGTAAAGAAAGTTTTTGAAGGGGTGTTGTGTAGGATTTAATTTTAATCTTAGAAATTATTAGAGAGATACTCAAATTTGTCATGCATAAACTCATTTAGTTTACTGCAAGGTAGTCATGGCAAGGCATGCAAGTAAAAACTCATGATATTCATGTAGAACCAGAGAATCAGAATTAACCATTATAATCATGATGTCAGTTCAATGGTTAGAGTACAAATATTTAGACTATAGGTGTTTACCTTTTATGCGTGGTCTTAGGAGGAAGGCTTGATCATAGCTCGAACTTGGCAGAGGTGCCTTGTAGATAGGGTCCAAGATTGGCAGCGGCAGGCAGAGTATCAAGCTATGCCTCTGACAGGGTCTTTTCTAAGGAAAGTGTCAGAGTTGAGAGGGTGATACTCTGACTCTGCCTTCTCTCGGTGAGTGAGGAGAAATTCAGAGTTTATATGTGAATTGTTCACCTTGGCTTCATATAATACAGGCCAGTGTGACATCAAAGACTGATATGTTATTTCTTTTCTCCAGGGTTAGAGATTAGCCAAATGTTGCATCTTGTCTTCAAGGTTAGAGATTAGGGAGGTTGTTTAGATGAAGGCTTCAAACCCATTGATTCTGGTCTGAACCCCTGCTGAGAATTTGCATTTGTTACAAGTTCCCAGGCGATGTTAATGCTGGTTAAGGACCAAACCATTAGTAGAGCAATGGCTCTCAAAATTTATTATACATAATAATCACCTGGGGATTTTTTTTTTTTAAACTGTAGATTCTGATTTAGTATACCTGGGGTGGAAATGCAAATTCTCAGCAGGAGTTTGAGCCGGAATGTTCCAGTTCAAAGCCCTGGTTTAGATTTATGTTTCAAAACTAGTTTACGAAGATTAGCTATGTTGCCTTTTCTTTTGTCACTACATGCTGGGGAAGGGCCAACTTAAAGGTTGTTTACCACATTTTTCACATACTGTCATTTTTTTAAGTTCAGAACTTGTTTACTTCTAAGTCACGTTATAAGCAGCTTATGCATCTGGGGCTTAACAATGTTATAGAAGCAACATAATAGTGCCTTAAGCATATTACAGATATATAATTTAAGAACATTACAGAATCATATATGGTTTGAGAACATTACAAAAAACATACATAACGAAGGGTTATAAATTTAAAAGTAAGACCTTAAGGAAGCCTTTTATAGCTGAAAGTGACGTCTACAGAAAAGAATAAGACCTGTTTAGTATTATGTAGAAGAGCCCTGGTAGCGCAGCGGTTAAAGCACTCAGCTGCCAACTGAAAGGTCAGCGGTCAGCCACTCGGCAGAGAAAGATGTGAGAGTCTGCTTTCATAAAGATTCACAGCCCTGGAAACCCTATGGGGCAGTTCTACTCTGTCCTATAGGGTTGCTATGAGGTGGAATCAGTGGCAGTGGGTTTTTTGTAAAGTGCAGCCACTATAGAATAACTTTGAAATCTTAGCTGGATATCTCTTGAACCTGTTACCTTCTAAACTTAATTAATTATAATATTGTTTGTAAAGATAGTAAACATTTTGTTTAACTGGGATTCTCAGGGAATGAGTGATTAATATAAGTGAATAATTCAGATAATTGATACTTAGCTCATCAAGCACAAACTTTTTCTAAAATTTACACATAAAAAATTAACTCTACAATGTATTTTTAGCTGCCAGCTGAAGATGAAGTCTTACTACAGAAATTAAGAGAGGAATCCAGAGCCGTCTTTCTGCAAAGGAAAAGCAGAGAGCTATTAGATAACGAAGAATTACAGGTGAGAATGGAGTAAAATGTTGCTTTCGATGTTAACCATTTCTTGTTTGTGCTACTGAAGTCTTGCAGGATCTCATGGTGCCTTTTAATTAAAAGCAGGTAAAAGCACAGGCTCTGAAGCAATGGTTCCCGTGTGAGCTTGCGTGGGCCCCATCCCGAAAGCATAATGTGTGTGTGTGTGTTTTTAAGTCCCTAGGTGATTCTAATATGCAGCCAAAATTGAGAACCACTGCTCTAGGGCCATACTGCAGGGATTCAAATCCTGGCTCTGCTCTATGACCTTGGGCAGTGGACTTAACATCTCTGTGCTTCAATTCTCATCTGTAAAGTAGGGTTAAACAGTGCCTACATCACATAGTTATATGGATTAAAGAGGCACTGTATATGAAAAACTTAGAATTTAGTAGGCACTCAATAAACGTTAGCTGTTTTTATTGTTTTGTTATTAGTAATCAAAAGGACAGTAAGGAATGAGATTCATCTTAATATTAACTCTCTGCTATCAGACTTTCATTTTAACGGAAATGACACATTTAATACGTTTTTAAATTTTGTTTTGTTACTTACATCATCTTCATTTCTGCAATTCTCTTAAGAACTTATGGTTCTTGCTGGACAAACACCAGACACCACCTATGATTGGAGAGGAAGCAATGATCAATTATGAAAATTTTTTGAAGGTTGGTGAAAAAGCTGGACCAAAGTGCAAGTAAGAATAATATAATTTACAAAGGAGTATGTTGTGTTAAGCATTTTTAAATGCCTCAAATGTTAATGAAAACATAAGTCCGAATGACATTTTCAGTCAATTTGAATTACTAATGAAATTTAATAAAATTATCTACAATCATGAAAAGAATTACATTGGTGTGAATTTATTGAAAGAAATAATATAGGTTATTTGTGACACTTTAGGCCTTCATTCTTAAGGCAAAAGAATGCAAAAATGTGTGACTTAATATTTTAAGTTTTTTGATATGTGAGTAGTCTCTATAATTCTCTCTTTGATTTTTTTTTTGTTTTGATCTTTGAGTAATTCATAAAGGATTATTCATATAGCCATTAAACATATAGCCATTGTCTGCTAATTCTTTTGAAATTTATAATTGTTTTATAATTTTATACAATTATATAAATTTTTTATAATTTTATAGTTTTAAGTTTTATAATTGTTCATAAATTATTGTTTGCTAATTCACATTTTTATATTATGTTGGCAGATCATTTCAATCCTTATTTCCTTTTCTTAGGCAATTCTTCACAGCAAAAGTCTTTGCTAAACTCCTTCATGCAGATTCCTATGGAAGAATTTCTATCATGCAGTTCTTTAATTATGTCATGAGAAAAGGTAATTCATCTTTATTGTGCTTGAATGCCTCAAATCAAATAGGAAGCAAGTAGGCCTTTGGCCTGTGCTTTTATAGCATCTCTTTCATGTGACACAACTGTCTTATCAAATGTAAATAGCAGAATATTTTATCTTTTTATCAAGATTTGTTATGCTGTTACCTTGACTCTGTCATGGAGCTTACTAGAGCTGTGATTTTTCTACCATAAATGTGGGTTCATCGTTATAAAAAAAAAACCACTCTCATATATCCTAAAGATACTAGCAATCTAGAACTATTAAAAGCTGAACCAAGAGTTTTAACGTATGGTTATTTGAAATAATTTCATTTTAATTCACTGGTAATTTTACTTTACCAATATATTACAGATCGCCTAAGAGGATAGTTTCAAATCCACACCTATAGCAGATCAGTTTCAAGGAACATTTATTAAACAACTTGGAGTTGTTGTGATTTCTATAAGTACCATAATGATCTGTGAAGCCCTGTGTGTTCCATCTTTAACTAATATTTGGTTGCTGTAATTAACCTCAGTAGAATAAAAACAGCTTTATTAAAGGCATAATATTACGCTAGCTGTCCCTGTTTCACGGAACACCAGGTTTAATAGGTGAAGAATAATACCCTCAGGGGCATGAATTTCATTCTCGCTTTAGACATGATAGAATTGTTGAAATCTTTCAGTAATTCTATGGTCTGTTTGTTTTGTTTCAAACAATTTTGAGGTTAATGAGTAAGTAATATGTTTACAGAATTATTGGATTAGCTCTTTATCTCCTTTTGTGCATACATGCTAATGATACATCTTAATAGTTACATTTCATTATCTTGTTCATTGTCAGTTTGGCTTCACCAAACAAGAATAGGACTCAGCTTATATGATGTTGCTGGACAAGGGTACCTTCGGGAATCTGTAAGTATTAACCTACTTTAAGAACTACTGTAGACATCAAAATGTTAACAGTAATTATCACTGATCTGTGAATTACAGGTGATTCTTATTTTTGTTTCACTTTTTTTTGTTTTTGCAAACAGTGTGTTACTGAAAATTTTTTGAGACTTGACCGTAAAAATTGCTTTTTAGATTGTTTTTCTGTAACCTTTGAAATATAGTAAGGATGTAATATTTGTTATGGATTGAATTATGTCCTCCAAAAATACGTGTTGTAAATCCTAACCTCTATGCCTGTGGTTATTTATAATCCCGTTTGTGAATGGGTTGTCTTTGTTATGTTAATGAGACAAGATTAGTGTAGGGTTTATCGTGAGTCGATCTCTTTTGATATATAAAAGAGATTAAATGAAAGCTAGCAAGTAGAGATGGGGAAAGAGAGCCACATGAAGATCACCCAGAAGCAGAAGCTCAGAGACAAGGGCCTTCCTCCGGAGGAGATGAGAGAGAAAGCCTTCTCCTAGAGCCAGCACCCTAAATTTGGACTTTCAGCTTCCTTAATTGTGAGAAAATAAATTTCTTTGTTAAACCCACCCACTTGTAGTATTTCTGTTACAGCAGCACTAGATAACTAAGACATTATTTTAAAAGGATTAAAAATTGTTGAAGAAACAGTGAGAAACTTTTGGTTATATGACTGTTTTAAAATTTCAGGACCAGAAATTTTCCCTTGTTTAGGAAATATAAAAGAAAAATGTGACTGTATTCTCACCTATAGATTCAGGGTTGTAAGATCAGTTACCAAGAGATCGTTTATTTCCTATTAGGTACTAATGTAGATGGGTCAGGTTATCAGCATGTAATTATAACCTCATGATTCCAATGGCTATGCTTCTTGTAAACTATATGGATGTGCTGTTTTCCAAAATATGGAATTCTTTTTAGGGGCATGAGGGAGAAGAGAAGGGGGTTAAACATACATGTAAACCAGTTTAATTAATCACTTAAATAAGTATTCAAATATATGATTTAAAGAAATGTAAATTCCTTATTATAGTTTGGTATGGTTTCTTTCATAATTTGGTGAACTCTGTTTTGTCCAGATTTCTGTAGATAAAACGTATCATTCAAAAATTTACACTTTAAAACCTTTCCAGGGACATAGTACAATTCTTGTCCTTTAAGGTTTAGACCAATTTGACAGTAAAAGACTCTTGTCTCTGTCCATGTATCTCTAGCAAGAGAAACATAATTAGCTACCTATTGACACTCAGAAGTCAGGTATTGGAGTACTTTCCTAGGTCTAAAAATTCTTGCCAGCAGTTAGTTTGGCTTATATAACACACTCCCCTATTACTGCTTATTTTGCCTCTTTCCGTGGATGGAAACAGAAATTGAAAGAGAGATGAGATGGAGAAGAAAAGCAACAGTATACTCTCCATTACTGTTTTTAAAAGGGAATACTTTTTTTTCTCTCAATAAAGGAAAACGTTTTTCTAAAAGAAAATAAAGATTTCTTTCAACCTTGGTACTTGGCTTTTTGAAACCAGATTTTGTGTCTTCTAGTTTAAAAGAGAGTGATTTTCAGAGCCAACATCTATAATTTCAGATATAGGCAGACTTCCCTTCACTTGCTAAATCTTAAATAAGCACTTATTGCACACTTACTTTGTGCCGGGTGCTATTCTAAGCCTTACTCTCATGGACTTTTTTCTAGCAAAGTGAGGAGACAGACACTAAGTTATAACCAGCATAGTTTTAAATAGTGGCAAGTCATATGGAGAAAATAAAATAGGATAAAGAGAAAGAGTGTGAGACAGCAAGGGGCTGGGAGGGCTACTTTAGGTAGGCTGGAAGAGGTGCTTCTCTGAAATAGTGATCTTTGAGTTTTAGTTACAAAGAATGAGAAAGAAGCCAACTTTATGAAGATACAGTATAAAGGGAATGACAGCAAGTGAACCAAGACAAAGTTAAACCTGATCTATTTTAGGCAGAAGGAAGCCAGGGAGTCTAGAGCACATGAGCAAGGGTTAGAATGACAGGAGATGAAGTCGGAGAAGTAGGCAGGAGCCACACATCAGACCTTTTAGACCATAGTAAGAAGAAGTTTAGATTTTACTTTGAGGTTAACAGGAAGCCATTGGAAGTTTTAAGCTAGATCTGTAGGATATGATTTACATTTTAAAAGAACACTCTGGATATCGTGTGGAGAATGGAATGATCCTGCGTCCTACATTCAGTCTGTGAGCTTAAGTTGTTTGTTCTTGGTTCAAAGGACCCCCTTTAATCATTCTTGTAAGTTTGGTTTGGTTTTTACATATTCCCTTAATTTCTGTTTATCTGGAAATGTCCTAATTTCACCATCATATTTGAACGAGAGTTTTGCAGGATATGTTATTCTTGGCTGGCAATTTTTTTCTTTCAAGGTTTTATATATGTCATCCCATTACCTTCTTGCCTTCGTGGTTTCTGCTGAATAATCTGAGTTTAGTCTTATTGTTTCTTCTCTATATGTGACTTCTTGTTTTTCATGAGCTGCTCTTAGGATTCTTTGTCTTTGGTTTTGGCAAGTGTGATTATGATATGCCTTGGTGATTTTCTTATGAAGTCTATCCTATATGGGGTTCGTTGAGCTTCTTGGATGGCCAGCTTTTCATCTTTCATGATATTGGGGAAGTTTTCTGTCAGCAGTTCTTCAATGATCCTCTCTGT